ATCGTGTAACAGATTAGCTACTTTAGGCTACAATATTAGAAAATATTCTGAATCTTCGGAGGTAAGATAAAGAAAATTATATTTGTGGCATTATACAAATATACAACATAGATGTTTAAAGATCATAGGCCTTTACCAAAAGACAATCTAGACAGTTAGCTTCTCGGAAACAACAACATACTAAAAACAATTTACTAACATTATTAATGATGTAGAGCACCCGTTCAGGCATTTCTTACAATTTAATACAGGTTCTAAATACAATCTTATGTCAGTGTCCAAAATAAGAGTTCCTTTATCGAAAACTAAGAGACATGAACAATCTTTTTTAGTCCGGGGTTGCAAATGCTTATAAGAATCTTTTTTGCTGTACTGATTTTGTAAACGATTTTTATATTTCTGAGCATATATATTTACATTTGTAATATAGTCGTATTTCTTTGCAATGACTGTAATAAAGTTTATTATTATTCTTTATTCTTTATTATTCTTTATTATAGGACGTATTTGGTTAAACGTTTTATTAATTTTTGCCAACATTTTCTTTTCAGGATTCAAAGAACTTTATTGAAACAACAGGTAACGTAACATTTCACAAACTGCATGTATGATTATATCTACCAAATATATAAAATTGTGCATTTTGATTGTAAAAGTGCTGAAATGTGCCAATTTATTGCTGTTTTTCCTACTGTATTTAGTGTGCTCATTAGTCCTTATTTGTTTTGATTAATTAAGTATGCTTGCTTGATTGCTGAAAAATACAGACCGAAATGTCTGAGTGTAATGTTATAAATGATACAGTATATTTTACCTGTTCTGTATCTTCTGTTTTGTAGCATTTTCAGAGAGTGTATCAAATCTTGCAAAGTCACTTGGACTATCAAAAATTGACCCAGAAAGTCTGAAGCCAGCTTTGGTGCATCGATCTTATTTGGTAACACATGCAACTATATTGAAGGACTCACATGAACATAATGATCAACTTGCTTTCTTAGGTAATAATGCATGATCATAATTGATAGGTAATAAAAATTATTCATACTAAAAAAGCAAGGTTATGATCACTATTATCATCCTTTTTTATCAATCGTTTCCCTCAAGGTTCAAGTTTTATTTTTCATTTCACTTCTATAAATTGCACAAGACTGTGTGTTTTAGTGATCAAAATTGCAATGACCAATAAAAATAACTATAAGTAAATATACTAAACAGTGAAAAGAATAAAGATGCATTTTGAATTTTGGTTCCCTTGCAAATACATCTGGAGAAACTGTCAGTCTATTTATGGCTTCGTATAACTTATCATTTGATAACAAGTGATATGATGTTTGCTATTTGGACTGTATATATTGTATGTACTTTGAAGTTTAACACATCAATTCAAAGTCATTCAAGATGAAATGCATGAATTACTTGAGCTTGTTACATAATGTTTACTACTCTTTTAGGTTTACAGACAGCAAAGAGACATCTAACTGAACTTCTTTTGCAACATTTTCCACATTTGTCATCTCAGGAACTATGGTAGGTTGTTCTGGGTATGATTGACAAAATCCAACTAAATTGTTGTCTTGACAATTTTCGTTAATAATGCCCCTAAAAGTCTAGGTACTTGTATAGTAGTGTATGTTTGAATTTATCATATGATAGAAGTTTAAAAACTATGTTGTTGTGTATTTTTCCAGGGATGTACAAAATGGTATTCTAGAAAATCAAGTTCTATC